GGGAAATTCTTCTCCTCACTAGCATCCAGTTCAAATCGAGTGTTAGTCTGGGCTTAGGATGCAAGGTTTTCTGTTGTGCTCTTTCTCCCTCTTCAGTAGTAAGCAGAGGAAAAGGACATCCCTTTCCACCTCCATCTCTTCAAAGGCCAGTGAGCAGATTGACTCGTCTTATACTCTGTTGAGGGACCTTCCCAGCTATCCGTTATGCACACAATCATGATTCACAACCAGGGACAAGCCCTTTGGGATGCCGCACCACTGTTTCAGGCAGTCCTGAGTCAGTAGGGAACCTAAAATTTAGGGTTTTATATTGCCACATTTTCTTTTTCACCAGTGGAAAGACTGATTGGATCTAACTTTTTGTACTTGCACTAAGAATTTCTGAAAGATGCTGCAATAAAATCCTTGCTGAAAAGAACTAGATGCCACAGTGAAAGTTCTAGATACCATGGCGACCTGGTGCCTGTGGTTTGTTGAACCCTGGCCTGTGGAAGTTCTCCTATTTTGTAACAGAGGAATATCTCTAGTGCTTCACTTAGATTTGGCCAAGCATATCACTAGACACATGAGTTCTGGAAACTGCTTCTGGTGTTCTTATTTCCCAGAGGCAAGTTTCTGATGCCTCAGGTCAGGGTTTTTCCTAGTCTATACTGGACAATGTGTCCCATCCTATTTATGTGTATGCATGCAGGAGAGGAAAGACAGGGACTCTGGGGAGATACTCTCTTTTCTGTTGAGTCATTTAAACTGTATTGTGTGGGAAGCATTTAAAGTTGGTTAGCTGACTGTTCTTGTAGTCATATTCCATTTTCATAACTTCCAAGGAGTTATCCATAAGAAGCTGTTGGAGGAAGGGTTTCTGTACTGCTCTAATGTGGTTTAGAGAAGATGGGAACCTCTCCTCCTGGATGACCTAATGGTTGCTTGAGGTCTCTGTCTACTACTCAAAGGACAGATGACCCTATTTTTTTTGCAGCGAAGAACAGGGATTTACTGTGTGTTTGAAATTACTCTTTCATGCTTTTTTAGCTGTATACGCTGACATCGATTTTTGTTGGCATCACTTGACAGGCTTTCTATTTCGTCAGAAAACTGCGGGAGAAAGTTTTTGCAGTGTTTAATTCTAAAATGTCCATGTGCATTTTCAGAATTCATATTTCTTATAATCCGTGTCCTTAAGAAAAAAAGGGAAATTATTTTAAGGTAATGCAAATTTATTTCTTAATAGTTGTAATATATCTTGTTGTACTGTTTCCTTGTTTTATAAAATATTTTCTGAAAGAAGGTTAAAGTGGAAACGCTTATTTCCTCAATCTGACAAATGTCCCAAAACTGGGCTTGGTCTGACTTTCTTTACAGCATCTCCAATCCCTTGTTCTACTTTACAAGGCAAACCTAAACTTAATGGACATGAGATTACAATGTTGCATTCTGGGGAAACATGGACAATGCATCTAGAAACTCTTATGTGCCCTTGAGTTCCATTGCATTTAAGTTGTTTGGATGTTAATATGTAACACATGTTTACTGGGATGTCACACATTTAGTTCACTTACAGGGCAATCCTAAACACATCTGTTTAGAAGTGGTTTTGTTGTTTTTTTAAATGAGTATTTGTGTGCATGTGCGTGTGTATGCACTTCTGAGCTTGGAAGTCATGGTGACTTCTGGTGATCCCTGGTGGGTCTAGGATGTTTTTCAGAGAGGTGGGTTGATATAACCTGTCTCTTTGACCTGGCCCTGGTATTCCTTGGAGGTTGCCCTTCCAAGTAGTTGGTCTTGCTTAGCTTCCAAGATCTGATGAGATCAGGCTTGCCTGGGCTATCCAGGTCAGGTGCTTAGAAGTAACATTTGTTGAGTTTACTGGGGCTTACAGCCTGGTAAGTGTGCTGATGATTGCAGCCTTAGCACTGAATAGAGTTGAGCAGCTTCAAATGTAAGAGACCGATTTATCACTGTATCTGATACTAAGCTGGGTATTCCTCAGAGTCATGAAAGCAAAGCTAGGCTACCCACAGATAAGGCAAGGGTTTCTACATACTCATGGCATTCTGTGGTTAAGCAGAACAAAGCATGACCTGTTGGCGGTGTTTGACACGGTCTATCATCAGCTGCTGATACACTGCCTTGCTGACTCGGATTCAGGGGCTTGCCTTACAATGGCTTGTCTCCTTTCTCCAAGGTCAGGGACAAAGGGTGACTCTCGGGGATCAGCTGTCCTGAAGGTAGCTGCTGATCTGTGGAGTGCCTCAAGGGGCAGTGCTCTCCCCGATGTTATTTACCATCTATATGCGCCCCCTTGCCCAGATTGCCTGGAGGTGGATGACACCAGGTATATCTGATGTTGGGCGGCCAGTCCAACTCTACCCCAGAAGATCTGGACCAGGTGTTACGAGCCGTGGTGGGTTGGCTTAGACTGAGCGGATTGAAATTGAATTCGATGAAGACGGAGGTCCTGTGCCTGAGTCGGAGTGTACCGGGGGTAGGGATCCCACTACCAGCCTTCATTGGGGCACAGCTGGTGCCAGCACCGAGGGTCAGGAGTTTGGGAGTGCTCTTGGATGCCTCCTTAATGATGGAGGCCCAGGTAGCAGCCACTGCTAAGTCAGCCTTTTACCATCTTCGGCTGATTAGGCAGTTGGTTCCCTTCCTTGAACGTAATGATCTGGTAACAGTGATCCATGCAATGGTCACCTCGAGATTGGACTACTGTAATGCTCTCTATATGGGGCTGCCCTTGTCACAAATCTGGAAGCTGCAGCTGGTGCAAAATGCGACAGCCAGGCTGTTGATGGATCTCCCTGTGCAGGAGCACATCCAGCCTGTGCTGAAGGTACTGCACTGGCTGCCAATAGCATACCAGATCTGCTTCAAGGTGCTGGTTTTGACCTTTAAAGCCCTATATGGTCTGGGGCCTGCCTACCTGAGGGACCGCCTTTCCTCACATGTTCCCCAGAGAGCACTGAGGTCGGAGTCACAAAACCGCTTGACCCTCTCTGGACCAAAAGACGCAAAACTGGCCTCTACCAAGGTCAGGGCCTTCCCTGTAGCGGCTCCATACTGGTGGAATGAGCTCCCAGAAGACATCAGGGCCCTGCGGGAACTCTTAGAGTTCTGCAGGGCCTGAAAAATGGAGCTCTTCCACCAGGACTTTGATTAGGAGCCACTACCAATAACACCTGAACTGGGGTAAGGCCCTCTATGCTAACAGCAACAGCCTGTGATGTCAACAGCAACAGCCTCTGGCCATAATTTTTTTTGTTACATTTGCTACATCATGGCCTGTAGGGATCATGATGTATTGTTATTGCCACTAGCACTTTCGCTGCACGTATTTGTTATTTGTTATTGTCATGTATACGAGTTTTTATGATGTCCATTGTGTTTAATGAATTTGTGTTTTAATTCATTTTAACTTTTTAATGTAAGCCGCCCTGAGCCTGCCTCGGCAGGAAGGGCGGGATACAAATTGAAATAGATAGATAGATAGATAGATAGATAGATAGATAGATAGATAGATAGATAGATTTTCAAATTAGCCAATAGAAATAGCAGCCTGGTGGAACTGAGCATGTTCCATATGACATTGGATTTTGAGAGCAGTTGAGGGTCATTTAAAGAAAAAAAAATCATAATGGGAGATGGGGGCAAATGTTTGAACTGAGGGTTTATATAATTTCGGATGGGGGGATTTGGGGTAGGTGGCTGGGAATATTTCAAGTCATTTACCTAGGCTTACCATTTGCCCAGTGGTAGTAGGCAATCCCCCCCCCCCAATTCGTCACTGACTTCCATGTATAGCTGAAGGCATGGCTAGGCCAATAGGAGTGTCTTGTATCTTTAATTACTGTGTAGAAGAGGGAATTTCAGCCTGTCCCAAAGTGGTGCAGGAGTGAGAAGTGAACCCTCTGAAATTCCTGATTCTGGGTAACTTAAGTTTAGGAGTCCTTTCAGCTAGCTGTATGGATAGACCCAAGAGTACAATATTTTGCTTTATAATCTCAGTCTGCCTTAACATTAAAATGCTTAAATCTTGCTTAATGGTATTCAATAAGTGAGTTAATGATCAGGTGTGAGAGTACATTAGGTATTGTGCAGCTGTTAATTTTCAAAACCCATGTGTTTCCAGATTTTTGGGATGAGCTAATAGTGAAGTTTTTCTTAATTAAGTCTCTGAACCATTGCCGTCTTCTTATGGGCTTTCCTTCTCACCTGAACAATTGGCTTTGTTTTAATCTGCTCTACATTTCTGGCTCACTTTGGCTAATGTCATTTCTACTTCTGCAAGTACCAAGCAGGTGTCAGAATAAAATTATCCTTTCAGTGGGATACATTAGTTTACAGGTGTAGACAATGCGAGGATGTATCTACCTCTCAGCTGCGCAAGTAGTACATAACACAAGGCTTCAATGGAAAACAATCTCTTACAGCATGTTGCATCAGCTTTTCCTCCCCAGCTTTGATAAACAAATACGTTATCGCTCACAAAATAGATCACTGTATTAAATGAAAACAAAATCTTGGTTGCTTACCAACAGGTTTAATTTAGATCTCTTTTTTGATTGTTTTGCTAAGCATTTCACTCACCTTTCCTAACACCTGAACCTTTTTCATTTCCCTAGGCTATGTATTAAATTAACTTGTGTGTGCAGAGAATAAATAAAATAATAGCACTGCACTGCTGCATCCAGTAGGAGGCCCCAGTGTGCTGAAGGTAGAAATTGTGGCGACCCATTAGCTCCCTCAAAAACAGTCAATGGTGTTTAGAGCAGATGGGGAAGGGCAACAGGAGCTCTGCAACCCCGCAAACTCTTGTTTTAAAATAATTCATTATATAATTCGATCTTTTTAATAAACAAGGCTGTTCAATTGCAGAGAAAAGTTTAAATTTGTTGTTTTTTTTAATTATCCTACACTTCTTCATGCATGCAATTGCTTGATCTTGGAAGACAGTTATTTTACTGAATCTGAAAACATTCACACATATCTTTGTTTTGCAGTTAAAAAGCCAGTAGAGGATACAGAAGAAAAGAAGATAGTTTTGCTGAAGAAGAGAGTGAAGGAGTTAAGAATATTGGATGGGAAGACGGCACAGAATTTGTGTATGTAATACATTCTTTTATTTGGCACATTGCTTGTCTGAGCACACATTTTCAGGCCTTTCAGAACTGTTGGCAGACTTTTCTGATGTCAAGCATTTGGTAATGAGGAATAAATACATATAGAGAAATGCATCTTATTGTGGAAGCTTGCCTGACATACGTCTTCTCTTGGCATTGGCTCAGTGGTAAAGCATCTGCTTGATGAACAGAAGGTCCCTAGGTTTAATCACTGACATATCCAGCTTTAAAAAAAGGTGGGCGAAGTTCAGGTAGTAAGTGATGTGAGACCCTGGAGAGCTGCTGCCAGTCTGGGTGGATAACACTGACCTTGATGGACCAGTGGTCTGACTCAGTATAAGGCAGCTTCATGGGATTCTTGGGCGCCATGAAATTCCAGTAACTGGTAGAGTCAGTGGTCTGTATCTGACTGTGCAGATCCAAATGCTTAAAGGCATTTAACTTTCCTTAGGAGGTGGGTGGAGATTTCTACTCCTTCTTCCTCCTTTTGCAGCTCACTGGCTCCCCAGAAAAGGGAAGAACAGGTGTGGGGGGATCTGCATAGGGCAGGGGGAATCAGTAGAAATCACTCCTTGCTAATAAACATGTTTAAGTGCCTCAAGTTATCAGAATATGTTGCTTGTCAGTTAGAAGCATCCGTCTGACCCCTGTTTGGAAAAAGAATGCTGGACTAGATGGCTGTTTGTTCTAATCTGATCCTCATATTTGTTATGAAATGTGGTAACAGTTTATTGTTGTGAAAGCTCAGGAGCCAATAAGAACATAAGAGAAGCCAACGTTGGATCAGGCCAAAGGCCCATCCAGTCCAACACTCTATCACACAGTGGCCAAAAATGCCAGGTGCCATAAGAAGGTCCATCAGTGGGGCCAGGACACTAGACCCTCTCCCACTGTTGCCCCCCCCCCCAAGCACCAAGAATACAGGGCATCACTTGCCCCCCTAAGCACCAAGAATACAGAGCATCACTTGCCCCAGAGTTCCTATCTATACCTTGTGGCTAATAGCTACTGATGGATCTCTGCTCTGTATGTTTATGAATGGGAAACTAAAGATGGACTCCAATTTTTTGTTTTCATTTGAAGGGGTTTTTTTGAGGGACCTTTGCTATGCTTAAATTACAAAGGTCCATAGTTCAGCCCGTTTTGATAAATACTATAAAAAGAAGTGTGATTCCTGCTTATTGGTGTAGTGTCCTTGTACACTATAAGGAATTTCATGAATATTGTAAGAAAACACAACTAAGTTAAATCCAGTTTATCTTCATTCCCTGACTTACGTGAATTCTGAGCTACAGAGTGTTGACTCAGCATCTTAAACTTTAGTGAAGGTAAATGAATGTTCCTGAATATGATCAACATTTTTCCAGTTTGAATATTTTGGAAGAAATACAAAATCACATGTGTTTTACATTTGACAATTCTGACTTCTTAGATTATGATGGTGCATTTCATTTCAGCCATTTTCCTGGGATCTTTCCGTATGCCTTATGAGGAAATAAAAAATATCATATTAGAAGTAGATGAAGAAAAACTGAGTGAAGCATTGATTCAGGTAAGCCAGTATGACATCCACTGGAATCAACATTTTCATCACAGTGAATATACTTGAGTGTGCTATGGGACAGTGAAATCCCATACCTACTCTAAGGAAGCAGATTCTGAAATTGGGTTGCTTGACAGTTTTAAATGCCTTAGGAGTGAGAGAGGTACTTTCTCCTGTGTAGCTATTCTCATTTCAAATATTCATATTGTTTCATTAATCTAAATTTTTACCTCATCCCCCTCTAGGAAGCTGAGAGCTGCGTATAACATTTATAGAATAATAGATGTACTATCCATTTTCTCTCCTTCCTTTTGTAATGCAATCGTAGACTGCATCGCAAAAGTGATACTGAAATTTTGCTCTGTGGTGATAAAGCAAACCGTGTGCTTGTACGTGGGTGTGAAGGACCCCCATATTTCAGGTAGCAATAAAAGGACGCCAGTTTGGGAATGAGGCTGAAGTTTCAAAGTAAATTTTTTAATGTTCATGATTATTTCATATCTTTGAACTATCTTTCTTACAGTGGTTAAAATAATTAAGAATTTGTAGTGGTAAGAGTACAAAAGTCATGGCTGTAGATCAAGATGGGTAGCCTTGTTAGTCTGTCTGGAGCAGTAGAAAAGAGCAAGAGTCCAGGAGCACCTGAAAGACTAACAAAATATGCATCAGGGTATGAGCTTTTGTGAGTCACTGCTCACTTCTTCAGTTATGGTTGTACAAGTAACTTTTGTCCAATATTTAGGGGTTGCTTTGTATGCTCAGAAAGGCGCATATACACTTGACACATATTGGTGTGGATGAGGCCTGTTTCCTACTAGGGCCACATTTGTTCTGGGAAAACAAAGTATAAAAGAGAAACATTTATTTAAAACAATTTTATGCTGCCTTTCTACCGAAATAGGGTCCCCATGGTGGTGGATATGAAAACATTTGAATACTGAAAACAATATTTAAAATAATATATAAAATACTTTAATAAAACCTATAAACATACCACACCAAAACCAAGAAGGAGGGACAGTAACAGTTAGTGGGTGAAAACCAAACAATTAAAAAAAAAAACACTCATTGATCTTAGACAGATCTCCCTGGTGAGGGATTTCTAAAGTTTTGGTGCCACTTTTGTGAAGGCCATTTTACGAGTTGCCACCCATTTAGCCTCAGATGGTAGAGGCACCAAAAACACAGCATTACACCTGTGGCCCCTTGGCTCCTTATGTTGTGTTTGGCTCTTGGCAATTCTATAGGCGAGCTCCTTCCACATTTTCTGACCTAGTACTGTTTCTTTGAGTTGTTCCATGCTCAGGCTGGTGTCAACTTTTATGGTGTCTAGCCACCGTGTTCTTTGGCAGCCAGGTTTCCTTTTGCCGCTAACCAATCCAAGCACAATCACTTTATCTAATGAATTCTTCTGAAAAAAGTCAGTTGCAGTTTTGTGATTTTTCCTTCCAATGGCACGTCTGATTTTATGCACTCCAGTACTTGCTTGTTTGTCACCTTTGCTGTCCAAGGAATGTACTGGAGCCTTCTCCAGCACCACAGCTCAAATGAGTTGATTTTCCTCCTGTCTTGCTTCTTCATGGTCCAACTTTTGCAGCCATAGGTTGCTTTGGGGAACACAGTAGCACAGAGTAGTCTGCATTTGGTTCCTTGGCTGGTGTCCTTGCTCTTCCATATTCGATTCATGCTCATCATTGCTGTGCTGCCCAGCATGATCCGATGTTTTATTTTTGGACTGCATTCACCATTCTGGTTGATCTGTAATTCTAAGAAAGTGAATTCTTCCACACATTAGATCTCTTCATTGTCAATTGTTATTTTGACATTTCTCTTTTTCTCGGTGGTCATGAATTTGGTCTTTTTGATGTTTAGGGAAGCCAAACTTCTTTGATAAATTCTTCTTTGATTTTCTTGATCAGGTATTCCAGGCCTTCTTTAGTTTCTGAGAGGAGGGTTGTATTATCAGCATATCGAAGATTGTTGATATTCCTTCATCCAGTCTTTACCCCAATTTTTGACTCTTCCAGCTCTAACTTCCTCATGATTGTTTCAGCATACATGTTGAATAGGAAAGGCTCCTTATGCCAGGGCTGATTAGACCCTAGGAAAATGGCTCTGGGCTTTTGGGTTCCTGATCCAGCAATGAACAGGCAGGAAGTCCCTGGCAAGGATCCTTTAAATGAAATAAAGCTTTATTGAAACATTTATGCATCCTAAGCTTAATCTCATTCACCCAGGACTGGCCAAACCTGTTCTTTCCATGCAAGGATTGCCCAAGCAAAAAAAGTCCCATTGAGGATGAGGATGGAAAATTGAGTTTTGCCCGTGCAAGGCCAGATCTTGGAATTTTGGAGGGATGATGATGTCATGGTACTTTTGGCCTTCTTCACCTCTTTTATCTTTCCCCCTTACTCTCCAGAATGCAGGTGCATCCAGTTCTTGCTTGGTACCAGATGTTCCCGCAGACATCTTTTTTGGTCTCAGCCAGCACATTGGCTTTGATTGTGTCTGACTGTTTCAGGATCACTTCTCTTATTTTACAAAACTAGTTTGGGAGGGGCAAAGGAATAAGCTGACTGCACGGAAAGGTTCAAACATGTATCAGGATGTGCAAGACAGTCCTTTTCATAGCTGGGGTGGGGAGAGATCCATTGGCCTGGACTTCGGCTTTTTGCACACACATTTTTTTCACATGCACTTAAAGCATTCTCTATCTCTAAACAGGGTTAGGAAATTTCAAGCTAATTTTATTATTGTTTTATTTATTTATGTTATTTATAGTCTGTCTTTCTGTCTGGAGTTCAAAGCAGATTAGACAAAGTTGCTGAATACACAGAAAGCTTCAAGGACAGCTTCAGATGCAGATTCTTGATCCTGCAGATTTAGAAGCAGATGTATAAGCACTAAATGAAGCATAATCTACTAGCAACCGCTTTTATATATGGAGTTTATATTCCATGTTTGACATTACTTTTCACTCCTGCAGGTAGGAGCTACAAGTTTAGATTTCAGCACTCAGGGTAAAGGAATGAGAAATGTAAGCACACACTTATTTCTACAGAATCTTTAAAACAAAAGGACAGATCTCTCAGGCAGGCATGAAAATGAAAATAGGTGGGTTTTAGCAGAATAATTAGCAATAATGTGTTGAGCAGGAGCAGAAATAACCATGTACATAGTCAAAGTAATATTCTACTATGTTATAGCATAATGTATGTCTATAATGCACATAGTTTTAACACCCACACAATGATTGTGCTGCAGAAGAAGAACACAAGAAGATCCCTGCTGGATCAGACCAATAGTCCATCTAGTCCAGCATCCTGTCTCACACAGGGGCCAGCCAGTTTCTCTGGATGGCCAACAACAGGACATAGAGGCCGAGGCCTTCCTCTGATGGTGCCTCCTGCCTCTGGGATTCAGAGGATTAGTGCCTCTGAATGTGGAGGTTCCCCTCAGTCATGAAATGTTAACTGCAAGGAGATAAAGGTTGTTGGGTGATAACCATATTGCTAGCAGATGAGGTCCCCGAAATAACTCACTTGGTGGCAAAATATCTATCGATAGTGCTATTTTTAAAGCAGCTTTGAAATGCTGTAGGTAGTTTTATGTATATAAATTTTAAAATCCTAAAACTAATTTCCATAATATCATGGGATTGTATGGAATTTATGGAAGTTTATAAAATGTTGTCTATTAATATTGTTTATGAATATGTTTATTGGTTTTTATTGTAAAAATGTTTGGTCTAAATTATCTTGCAATTATATGTAATGTGTTTTATAGTAGCTGTTTGTACGTTTGGCTTAAGACCTCTGGTCAATGAAGCTAATAAATGAAAGGAAAGGAAAAGGAGATAAAAGTTGAGAAAGAGAAATGGTTTGCAAAGCCTCCCCTCATCATGAGGCTCCTACAACTCTTTCTGCTAACAAATCATGGACAAAGGGCCTGTCATAACTGTTCGAGTTCACCAGAAGGCACGGGTTGCTCACAGACAGGACATGAGGTAGAGACTAATTTCAGCAAGATGGAGATGGAAAGGCTGTGGACAGAGGAAAGAAAACTAAACTTCCATTATCATGGAAACTTGAATTTTCTTCTGGCAACATTCTGTTGTTCCATGTGTGGCTGTGGACTTGTGTGTGAGATAGAGAAATAAAATCTAAAAGAAGATGACAAGCAACTGTATAATGAATTCAAATGCAAAATCATGATATTTTTGTTCCCATTCCTTTCATAGCAGAAGTTTGTGTTAACATAATTCAGGAGTATTGAGCTAAAAATATCTAAAGTGAGCTAACATAGCCTTTAGCATTGTTTATTTATGAGGAATTATTGTCCTCTAATTTAGGTCAACATTGTGCATTTAAGGTTGCAAGTTCCAAGTATGCTTATGAAAGAAGCAAATCCTAGTGGATTAAGAGAGGTTTAAGTGTAGTTCTCTTTAAGGTAGTAAACCTATGTCTGGGCTGTGTCACTCCAGATTGTAGGTATGGGGCTCACGTGATAGAATGCTTCTGCATTCAGAAGCAAGCATTCTGGGGGAAAGCATGAACACATGAAGCTGCCTTATATTGAATCAGACCATTGGTCCACCAAGGTCAGTGTTGTCTACGCAGACTGGCCCAGCTCGCCAGAGTCTCAGGTGGAGGTCTTTCACATTACCTGCTGACTGATCTAACGAAAATGCCGGGGACTTAATCTGGAATTTCTGCATGCCAAGCAGATGCTCTAGCACTGAACCGCATCTCCTCGCCAAGTACCTAGGCTAGGCCAGGTACTCTCCGTCATATGCTTGGTTTCTCTGTAAGGGGGAATGTGTTCATATGCAAAAACATTTAATAATGCCCATCTCACTGCTGCCCTCTGACACAGGTTTACTGTCTCATGAAAACTACAGATTAGTTTTGAATTAAACTTTTTTTTTTTAGTTGAAGGGTACCAAGCAGTTGGTTTTCTATCTTAACAGGGTTTTTTAAAAAAACAAACAAAAAACAAATGGATGCTGA